CCTTTATGAATGTGACTTAGACTAAAACTGGATCATACATATGACAGGATTACAGTATCTACTTCTGCATAATTATTACTGCCAAAACAAATCGGCAATATATGTATTTTAACAACCCTGTAGCTAATCACTATTCCCGTAGACTAAGTGAATTCCATGTCATCTGATTGGACGTGTACTTAAAATATTTCATAAACAAACAAAATGTATTTCTTATTTGAATAACATTTAATTTAATGAGCACTTAGGTTTGCAACAGGGAAGGGAGAAAGAAGGTGTTTTGAAAAAAAATTAATATTTGCGGAAAAAATAAAGACATTTACGATATTTGATCAAACAATATTCACAAACGAGTAAAATCTGTTTTTGGGATTTTTCAATGTAATTTTTTTACCATAAACTTTCATCGTCCAGCAATTTTTTGATAAAAAAATACTTTTTGACTATAGGACATATTTAATACAAATTGAACACTTCCATGTTTTAGGTAAGAAACAAAATTAAAAACCTTTTTTGTCATGAAACCCCATAACATAGCTTATAGCTCCTTCAAGGTGGGTGTCAGTCCGGCTCATACCCCTGATCTTCTGAATGCTGAATTCTGGCCCTCTGGAACTCTAATATGCAAGTTTATAGAGAAGCCTAACTTCAAACCTAGGTCCTACACCCAGTCTAGAACTTTTTTAGGGAAGTCTCAAACACATCAGACCTCTGCCTAGAGACCGTGCCTGCTGCTAGGCCTATGATAAATCTTTGCACAATAAACATTCAGTGCATGCGAAATAAAACTAATGAAATCGAAATTTTAAGCATTGAGAAGAACATTGATATTTTGTGTATTTGCGAGCATTGGCTCTTAAGTGATGAAATTCAGTTTTACAATACAGTTAGTAATTTAAAACTAGCAGCATACCGTTGCAGGCAGTCAGCTACTGGTGGGGTGGCTGTGTATCTCAGTAACAAACTTGCAGGTAATTATAAACCTTTGGACTTAAGTGGTTTCTCTGAGGATCTCCAGGTTGAATTTGCAGGTGTAGTGCTGCCAAATCTTTCAATGGCGGTAATAAGCATGTATCGCTCTCCTAGTGGTAATGTATATAGATTTTTTGAATTGCTTGAACTTTGTCTAAGTTACCTTACAACCTTAGGCCTCTTTGTGGTGATTGGAACCGATCATAATATCAATTTGCTTAGCTCTGACAACTACGCGTCTGATTTTGAAAATTTGATGCGAACTTTTAATATATTCCCTTCAATCATCGAACCAACTAGGGGTCCTGCATCTTTGGACACTTTTCTAACCAACTTGGACAGATGGGACTATGTGGCTGCGGTAAGTGTGGACAGTATTGCAGATCACAAGCATGTTCTGCTGTCGGTCACTACTCCGAATGTGGATCAACATCACCAGGTGTCCTCAAAAGTGGTATCCTTCAGAGTCTACAGTGATGAGGCAGAATTTAAACTTATAGAATACCTAGAACTGAATGTACATTTCTGGTTTGATGAAATCAAAGCATTGACGGCAAATGATGCTTTCATGTTTTTTCATGTCAACTTCAACATGGCCTTTGATCATTTTTTCCCAATAAAATGTAAAAAGGTGCATGTTGGCAAGTCAGGGGTTTCTAAAAATAATGGTTTGCCTGTTGTTAAGGACTGGTATACCCCTGAACTCTCTAGGCTAAAGAACATGATAACTTTAGTTAATGATTTAGTTAGTGTAAGACCTGATCTGTCTAACTTGCTTAAGCTGCTTAGAACACAATACCGTAAGAATGTGAGGGATGCAAAGATCAACTCAAATGCCGCATACATAACAGGGGCTTCCAATCCCTGTAAGGCGGCCTGGAATTTAATAAATCAAAATAGACCTCAAACAAAGTCTGATATTCTTGATCCGTCTTTTGCATCTGCTGATGAATTCAATTCGTACTTTGTTGAGTCTGTTGAGTCCATCTTGTCAACCATTCCAAATGTAACACAATCCTCTCCTGTGATCCTGTCAAGCATACCTGATGGTGCACCTACTTTTGAATGGAAACATGTATCGGTCCAAGACATTATTAATGCTGTTATGGGCTTTAAACTCTCTAACAGTAAAGATGTGTATGGCATGACACCTAATCTTTTGAAACACATTGTGTGGGCACTGGCACCTATACTAGCCCATTTGGTTAATGTATGCTTTTTAGTTGGTATTTTTCCTGCTCCATTAAAAGTCTCTAGAACTGTGCCTGTCTATAAAAAAGGGTCCCGTGACAATGTTGCAAGTTATCGACCAATATCGTTGATTCCTGTATTTTCTAAACTGTTTGAAGCTATTATGTTTGCTCAATTGTACGACCACCTTGAAGCACACAGCCTTCTGGTGCCTGGTCAATTTGGCTTCAGGAAAGCCAAATCCACTATATTGGCTGTTGATTCTATTGTACAATTAATTGTTGATGCTTTTGAGTCTAAGAAATCTACCTCCGTAATACTTTGTGACCTCTCTCGCGCTTTTGATTGCGTGTCACATGAAATTTTGCTCCTGAAATTGGGAAAATATGGCCTAGAAGGCAGTGCTCTGAGATTGGTCAAATCCTACCTCAGTGATCGCCAACAGGTTGTAAGTTAGAATAGTATTACATCTAAACCATTAGCTGTAAGACACGGGGTTCCGCAAGGTTCCATTATGGGACCTCTGTTATTTTTAGTAACAATCAATGACCTCTATACCAGACTTGAAGGTAATTGCATGTTGTATGCAGATGATACTTCCCTTATATCATGTAAAGCGACCCGTGAACAAGCAGAGCTGTCTGTTAAGAAGATTTTTGAGTCAGCCTCAAATTGGTTTGTTGACAATAAATTAGTGCTCAATAATGAGAAAACACAGTACATAACATTTAGCCTATGTGATTCCCAGATTGTTCCTTTCCAAGAGCCTGTCAAACTCCTTGGTATAACCCTTGACCCCTGTCTCAATTGGAAAGACCACATAAGCCAAGTCTGTACTAAACTAAGTAGAGTAGTACATCTTTTAAGACGTCTAAGTGACCAATTGCCACAGAGTACCCTTAGAATGTCCTTCTTTGCATTTTTCCAACCTCACATATCCTATGGGTTAATTTTGTGGGGCCACTCACCCAATGTCGAAAAGATCCTGCGACTGCAAAAGAGGGCAGTAAGGATTCTCTGTCATGCTCACTATAAAGAACACAGTAAGCCCTTGTTAAAGAGACAAAGAATTCTGACAGTTGTAAATATGTATATATTCCAATGCCTTGTTAGTATTAAGAACAGCATGAATGACTTACATGTAACCAGTTCAGTGCACAATCATGACACTAGGTTTAGTTCTAAGCTTGTCATTCCTCGGTCCAGGACTGATAAAAGAGCTAGGTCATACCCTGTTTCAGGAATAAAACTGTTCAATCACCTTCCTGGTCATGTGAGAAATCTGGAAAGAACGAACTTCCAAACCGTAATATTAGACTGGCTAATTGAAAATCCTTTTTTCAAATTTAAAGAGTTTTTTGAAACTGTATTTAGTTGAGTAGCCTAAGTTTTCCTCTAAACAACCTGTTTTTGCATAGTGCATGCATTTTGATGAACTGCATTTGTTTTGCTTTGTATCTTTTTGTGCATGGTCTTGAACATATATTTTTTTTTCACATGGTTGGTTTTGATCGATTTTTGGTTGGTTTGATTTTTAACTCATGATATTTATTTTATTTTATGCTTGTTCATTATGCTTGTACATTGACATAGCCTGTAACAATGTTGTTGTTGATTGGCCAAATAAATTCATTGTATTCATTGTATTGTAACACTTTGTTTCCATTATCAGATCCTGCTGGATCAAAAACTCAATCAAGTTTATTCCACTCTACAGATTCATTCAACATTTCATCAATATTGTACCTTAATTACTTAAGTTGTTGTGTTTACGGACCCCACACAAAATATACAGAGAGTCCCACGTAAGGTGCCTCAAATTGATTGCAGAAAAACGGCTTAACGTATGGGGATGAAATGAAATTATTTTCTACTAAATCGACCCCAAGGAATAACGTAAAAATATTTTTAACTTTTTTCCAATACAGGTTGTGCTTAAAACTGTGCCGAAATGTTTGTCTAACAAATACCTTCAAAATGATGGATAACATGACATATGTTTACATTTGATAATTCCGAGATTCGAACTAGTGACTCTGAGTTTTTTGCTCACCCTGTATCGGAGAAAATTTAAAAATATGTTTACGTTATTCCTTGGGGCCAATTTAACGGGAAATAGTTTTATTTCATGCTTGTACGTTAAGCCGTTTTTCCGTAATCAATTTGAGACACCTTACTTGGGACACTCTGTATATGTATATATACATATATATTGCCATATGAACTGATAAGTTTTTTTTTATTTACCTCTTAGAACATAAAAATAAAAGAGTAAATCGGTCCCAGGTCTATGTCTTAATGGTGATAGATTGTTCTCTATAGGAAAATTAATTAAAACAGAATTTGTTCGAACTTAAACCACTCAATTATACTGACTCAGCAAGCTAATTAGGTGTTTCGCACATTGTTGAAGTTAATTAGAAGTTTGCAAACCAGACGCTATCGCTAGTTGTATTTCGCTTGCACAACTGCACGTTTGTGTACTTTGTTGCTAACCTCAACAATGGTTTGTCTCTGAGGTGGATAAACAGTGCAATTCAATGTTTCCCTGTAACATGGTAAACGACGTTGCTACGTTTGCTGTTGGATCGTTAGTACTTATTATTCATGAAGGTTTATTTGAATATTAATACAGTGGTTTTATTATTTATGTTACCAATGTTTATTGCCCTTGGCATTCTAAATCATTACATCTTGTTTTAAATTTAATGGATAAAATGTTAATCAATTATAATTATACCTTTTTCCCCCATTGGTATGAAGGGTAACCAAAGCGTTCACAAGAAAATACTTCAAACATGTCTACGATAGAAGGTTTATATTTCCTTCTTTTTCAGATGAAGGGGTTACGAGGCCCTCGGACGATATGCTTCAGCTGGCATATGACCTTATAATGTGTGGGGTACGAAAAGGGTTCATTGCCAACCCCTTCAGACACTGGGGCGGCGGTATGACACCACTGCAAATGATGAGGGAATACATTGAAAATGAGGAAGATGTCGATTATAAAACTAAAGTGGAAGATCCAGGAATATATTGATTTACAAATAGTATTACCTAATTACTTAACCATGCTGTGTATTACAAATATGGTATTTGAGGAAATTGGATTTTACAATGTAGTTTTTGCAACGTATTTTTATATTTTTGTGTTTCATTAGTCATAAACACCATAAAATTTAGATGTGAAGATCTATGTCATGAGTTGTAAATGTTCGTCACCGAAAAGAATTTTGTTATTACTTCGGAGTTGGAGTTGAATTATTGTCTCATACTACCTACTTTACTAATAGCTTTGTATTGCTGACTGCGTTTCTTAGGACTTGGCAATAATTACGTACAGAACTTTTTGTTTTTCTGTACATGTGTGTGACATATCTCTAAGGATACATATATCACGTGTGGATACAAATATGAAGATAAAATAAACGTGTATCACAAAACACTTTATCTAAATGTGAGGTGAGGTTTTTAAACGGATATTACATTTTTAATTCAGGAGAATCCGAAGAACATCCATGATGATGATTTTGAGTAAATAATATCGCTTCATTGTCATTACTTGGTTAAGCCATTTATGGTGAATAGGTAGTTTGCTTGGCTTAAACATCCAACATAAGTCATAAATTGACCTAAATACCATAATTTAGTTTGTAAGACAACTTATATTTATTTACTTCTTTTCTAATAAATAATCTCCCCATGGTACCAATTATATCGACGAATCAACCCTGCTTACGGAAAAAACGTATTACAATTTATTGGGAATATGAGTGGTACATCTATTATCTGTACACTACTGATACGTGATTTTAACAATATACCTAACAACTTTATTTATACGTGAAGTGATTTCAAAGAATATACCTATTTGGGTGTTTATGTTTTGTGGTAAACACCCTCTGAATATTGTTTTTATGATAAGAAGTTTGAATAAAAATTTAAATTAATATAAAATAGCCTAATATTTTGTAATCTGTGTTTATAAGATTAAGTACAATGCCATAGGTTATCTCTCAATAACATCATACAACTCTTAGTTGATTTACCAACGTAGAAATGAAAAAAAAACTGACAAGAATCTTCTGAAGTATTCCTGTTTATAATGGTCAAAGAAATCCCTGCAGTGTGTTATCAAACGTGTTATTTACCGCGACATGTTAGGTCATGTTTCATAAAAATGATCTACAAAACCAAAACGTATTTATAGAGTATTATTATACCTAGTTTTGAGGTATAACTATTTGACAATGTCAACCACTCAAGACAAACCTTTACAAGAGGAGCCAGAATGCCTGAGTAAGTAAGTACAGTACAAATAAAAAACAAAATATTACACAAACTATTTAGGTACATTATTTAGAGACTAGCTTTACATTATTTTATCACAGCCCGTTATTTGTTAAATTAATTATAAAAATAAAATGAAAACGTTACTGCTTGTTCATACTACTTTTAACTACTACTTTCATACTACGTTACTTACTTTTTTTACTACCTGTAACCTACCTTTCACGTAAAAAATTTCTCTAAGGATTTCTTTGTAATGGATTTCGTTATCAGATACCTGGTAAAATATACACACTTGGGTACAGTATAATATGCAATTGAATTTACAGTAATTTTATAAGATACTTTTAGTGTCATGAAAGTAAAAAATACCCATTAAGCTACGGAATGACGAGCAAATAATTTCACGTAGTTTTATCAGATAGTTTAAATTTGTTCTTTAAAAACTGCTTAGGCCATAGCATTCACTTTGTAATCTGAATTATACATTCTATCTACATGGATCGGTTGAAGTTTTAAGTTTAAGAATGTTTCTTTATCAAATTTGTGTTGTTTAATTTTCTTGTTATCGCCCTTCCAGTGAGTTTTGTTGACAACGTTCGTAGATAATAAGTAAAACGGTATCTATTACGTCTATTTGTTGGTGGTATTATTATTTTTCTTTTATCTGAATCACTCTTATTTTTTTATTATTTTATCGTATTGGTTTTTAATAGGTAGGCTTAATTGATTTGTATTTTTTAAGAAATATGTCCGGAAATAATTCCAAGAAGAGAGTGGAGGCCGAGAAAGCCAAAGAAAGCCCACACACAGCAAGACAGAGCTTGGTATCCTGTTTTGTTCAGAAGTAGTAACTCATATGAGTGTAAGACTAAAGATGAATGTCTCAAGAACGTAAAATGGATGCAAACCTATCATATGGAGATTCATAAGCTTGATGATATTGGTTTCAGGTAATTCATGTTTGTTTTCAATACAACGTACAAGTCGTAGACAAAATTAAAGTATATAAAGTAGCTTAGAAGAATACCATGTTTTAGACCGTAGAAAATAGCGTAGTCTTTGATATTATAACATTCTGTGTTTTTTCTATCTATATTCTTGTGTAATTTAAGTATATTATTTGAGTTAAGTAGTTATTTAATTGTAATTTAAAATAGGTTGAATGTATTGTAATAAAATATATATATGAATAATATGAATAAGGAATACTGTCAATAAGCTTTTATACAATTATTGTAAAATAGTTTTAAAATTTTAAAATTTTTTTATAATATATATATTTTTTTTTATGTACGCAAAACATTCATACAAAATTCACGAAATATGTAATTAGTGATCTAATTAAAATGATAGTATACTAAACATTTTTAGTGCTACAGCAAATAGTTTATGTATTATTAAGAATTCATGAAATCCAATCTCCAAATTGAGTTTTAAAAAGTTATTCCACCTTAAAAACATGACTTCCTTCTATTCTTACTCATCTGTTGGTTATTAAAGGCACTGAAGTTAACTGTTATATGTTAGTTAAAAAAACTAATTGTGCTAAACATCCTTTTCAAAATGCATGGCATCTGGGTGAATCTATTTGTATATGTTTAGTTTTCTTATTGGAGAAGATGGGAACGTATATGAAGGCAGAGGTTGGGGGGTAGAAAATCATAGAATGGGAGGATACGTGGGAATAGCTTACATAGGCTACTACTGCTGTGAGTACATGGAATGTGTGTTATTATATTTTGATATTATGATTAAAAGCGCATAGTCCTATAATACACATTATTACTATCAGTATTTGAGATTTATTCACTGCAATTACAATGTACAAAACATCTGTTCGGAATGTACAAAACATTTAGTGTTCGTTACTTTTTTAATATATATTTAGAAACATATTAAAAAAATATTTAGTTAACCCTAAATAACTTAAATAATTAAAATCAAAATGTAGATGTGTGTTATTAAAAGAATATTTCGTAATTCTTATTATGAATTAAAAAGGTTTTCTATATTTTTGTTTAGATTGTGGTTTACTTAGTTGCTTAATTCTATGAAAATCTACAGATTTTCCAAGTTTATGTCAACAATTGTCAGAAAGATATTTTACCTAGCATCTACTAAATCTTAAACAAAGGCATATGTAGATCTTAACACAGGGTTTAACAGGTAAATTACTGTATGCCAAATATTATTAAAAAGTAACTAACACAAATTGACTACTACTTTTATGAAACTGTTTTGTTTTATTTCTAGGGGATGCTGACAAACAGCCTACGAAGGCCATGAAAAGAGCTGCATTTAGACTAGTACTCTGTGGAATTCAAAAAGGATTCATAAAAAGCCCTTTTAAGAAAGGAATTAAAACAATGAAAAGTGGGTTACCAGAGCCAGAAATGTGGGATAAATACATGTTTCAAGCTGAAGATGAATTTTAACCCATTATTACAGGGTTTTAGTCAAGTGAACAAATTATTTCAGCAAATAAAAAATGTTGTTTATCAAAAATCTTTAAAATATGTTTTAATGGCTGAAACAGATTTTTGAATCCGTTTAGACTAACAGGAACTTTAAGGTAGTTTATACGGAAAGGCAAAGTGTGTATCTTTTGTAATGTTACACAATGTTAACTAACAGCTTTCATGACGTAAGCAATTTATATAAACTTTTAATGGTAGTTTCAAACTCAAATTAGGTTCTAAACAAGACTAAAAGCTTATCTGTATGTAATTATTCAACCTGGTTCCCTTCATTTGCATGGGACCGTGTTATATTGTGACACATGGCCGTGTTCAATAAGTTTAGTCAACCAACGTTGTTCTCTTACTTGATAATTTTAGATATATTTGTGGTTATTTAAATCAAAACAAAATATATTTTAAAGCCCCCTTTGAATCATAAACCACCTGTTCTGGTTTTTCATATTATACCTGTACACAAATTACAATTATAATTTGTATAAGTGTAAAAAAGTGACATAAAATACACTAGTGATATAGAATTATTGTTTCAACTTGAAACCTTTTAAAAATAATTGTATTTATGGTTAAAATTATATAAAACGAAATCTATTAGTATTTACTGAAAACGTAAAATCTTTTGATAGGTACCGGTACCCCTAAATAAATATATGATGATTAATACATTTGCAGATAATATAGGAGTGCAGATTTTGTTTTGTTTATATTTTACAATACAGATAACTTTTTATCACATGCTTAATGTCATATAATCATACCAACATAGAATTTTTAACTTGTTACTTTGATTTATTTAAGGATTTAAACTTAACTTATAAAACTGGGATGGTGGCGTCCTCCTGTAATCCAGCTACTTGGGGGTCACGAATTGTGGATATTATTAGTTTGTGTATGCGAAACTCCCTTGTGTTGTGTCTGCAATAGTGAGTACTACGACTATCCGCAGTACCATCCTGATAATTATACTAATTCGTAAATGAAAGGCAAAATGTGGTTCGGATTCCACTATAAACTGCAGGTCCCATAGTTGTCATTGGCTGTATGGGCTATCAATTAACGGTCCTGTCTAAGGATCATGTCGGTCTTAGTCAGTAACAAGACTACAATATGGCGAAGCAACAAGATGGAGAAGTAACAAGATGGTGTTACTCATCTACATTAAAAATACCCTGTTAAATATTCGTTTGGTTAACATTTCAGATAAAAGTATTAAAATTATTAATTATACACATTCAGTGTAAGTGTGCATTATCTGTATCGTTTAAACGCTTTTAATTCACATAAATTTCCTTCTGGAGTTGTGATTAAAAGGCATTAACTACAAGAATAAGAATACTTCCTTTTACAAGGTGTGTTTACGTTGGCGAAGTAACGTAAAGCCAAAGCACCCGTAAATGAGGTCTGACTTAATTAGGGAACCTGTAAACAGTTTGGTTGCGTTTCAACTACCTCGCTAGTTGAACCTAATCTATGAAGTAATTTACCTCCTTCATCTAAACCTGTCCAAAATGGTGATTAAGATAGTCAAGTGTTAGTCTTTATTTTGTTAGACTTCATTGTTAATGTTTTATCCTTTGTTTTTTTAATAGGCTTCGTTTAGTAAATGAAAACTCAGGTGAGGTTGGTCTTTATTGTTGTTATAAATTGTGATGATTAAACATTTACCTGTTTGCTTAGTATATGTTCAAGAGAAAACTACGAGAACAATATTCAGATGTATAGTAAAATCGTAATCCTTTGATTTAATTGTGGTTTCTATTTAATTGCAACAGTAGCAAAGAAAATAGTTGTTTTTACAGATTTTTATAAACAGTTATAAAATTATTCTTAAATCCCTTTTTCCAACCTAAGGAATAAATATATCCTAAGATAAAGATAAAGGATTTCACATTTATTTGACTCGACTCACATTGTAAGTATTGAGTTTACGTTTAAAGCACTGTAAGTACTGTCCTTTGTTCAGTTAGGTGAAAATATTCTCAAACTGTAAATATAATTTTTAACATGCAAATGGTTTGATAAAACCTTTCAGAATTAAAAAAAAACCTCATGTTTTCGTAAGTTTTTCAATCTAATGTGAATTTCCTGAAGATGCTTAAATTATTTCCTACATTTCGTTGTTTTCAATGCATAGACAAATTACAATCCGAAACTAATTGTGTAACTTAAACATATAATGTAATTTCAATATTTCAATTAAATTATAAACAGTTTAGCATCATTCAAATTTCTGGATTCAGCGAAGGATAAAACACGCATCCAATATTCTTTTCCCATGGTTGTGTTTGGTAAAGTATCGCCACTAAAGGATTTACAACACGACATTGGGCCCACGTTCTTTCTGTTATTGCCTTCTTAAAAAGGCAGATAAGGATACGGAAATATTTTGTTTTAACGTTGTAATAACTGTCCCAGAATAAAATACATTCAACAGGGTTGTTATATATTTTTTAATACACTTTATTTAGTACACACATAAATCAATATTTTTATAGATGCACTTTCATAAAAGAATATTTGGATTCATCTCTTTTTGACACTGTAGTTTGTTGCTATAGATTGCACTTTACTTTTCACGTTAAGTAATTAATTACAGAATAATTATGTTTAAAAATATATTACAGCATATATAAATAATTTTCATTCTTCTTCTTGCAGAGTACCTCCATAAACTATACGAGCAAAGTTGATTTTTTCAGCAGATTCAATATTTACAAAAGAAAGTCAACCAACAAATAAAAGTACAGATTATACATAACATAACTAATCATATATGTATTGCATTAAGGTTACCGAAACCTTTTTAATAAGATATCTTTAATTGGTCATAATTTGCAGACAGAGTTTGCATTTTGGCCTATATCTCAATGATACAATACTTAGTTCCTATTAATAATTCTTTTTACATACTATTATTATATACTATTTTAAGCAAATACATTTTAAATATTCTTTTTTTAGCTATAAGACATTTTTTTTTTACTATTACAATAAAAAAAAACAACACAAACTTTAATTACAGTAAGGTAAAATTCAAAGTAAATATAAACTAGGAAACACTGTAAAATACACGACCAATAAATATAAAGTTACAACCGTCATCATTTCATGACCTAAACCAAGCTGATTTTACATAGGGTTTGTACTGTATTGATCAGTTTGTGGGCTTCACTCACCTTAATTTGTTAATCCAGGACTAGTCAATGTAACACAACGAAGACATACAACACACACATACACGCACATAAAAAAAATCGTCCTTGGATTTACTCCGACGTTTCACGTTTCGTTGAGTCGTGGTTAGGTGTTCAGCTCGTGTACGCGAGAAAAATAAAGTTTTAATTCCCTGAGGAAGCAGGACGTTATCTTTGGTCCCGCGAAACGTTGGAGTAAATCCAAGGACGATTTTTATGTGCGTGTATGTGTGTGTTGTGTGTCTTCGTTGTGTTACATTGACGAGTCCTGGATTAACAAATTAAGGTGAGTGAAGCCCACAAGCTGATCAATACAGTATTATAAACCCCACCTATGTCTTTCAGAAATAGGATAGGGTTTGTAGTTAGCAAGCCACAAACATTCTAAAAGATAAAAACACTAAGAGAACGGTGAGTAAAGATTCCCATCGTGATTCGGACCAATAACAAAGAGGAATCCAAAGCGTTTAAAAGGGCAAACTGTTGAATGCCAACGACAATCCATCCTGTAAACAAATCCCGTCTGGAACACAATCTACATTTCTGGAATAGTCACGTTTTTCTGGAAAAGAGAATTTGATTTTTTGCCATACTATACATAAATAAAGTTGATTTATTTCTAATAAATTGTTTTAAATTGAGATTTGTACTGCTAAAATCCCTTTAATTCCGTTTTCTTGACCCATTTTAACATGCACATTTATTCAACATGTTAACGTGTTAAATACATGTTTACGCGTAAAGAAACACAATACTAACAGATTGTTTTGTACACAAATTCGGAAAAAAGGGTCGTTTTGCAGCCAGGTGGTGACAAAATAGAGCTAGAGAAATGTTTGGGTATTCCTTTGTGGGTGAATTTCCTTCCGGAGGAATATTTATTTGAATAAGTTGAACCATATGCTACAAAATATTCATTTTAAAGTAAAGAATGTATATAACTTTATTTTATCTTTTTTTTACTTGATATTTGCTTAAAAAATATTAACTGCCATCCCTTTCGCCAAATTCCTTTTAGCATGCTTTATTGTTAAACATAATTAATACGTTCATAAAAAAACCATACTTACTTTTCTACCTTATATCGTAAAGAATGTCAAATTACGATTAAACTAAAGAAACTAATGTATTAATACTTGGTGTATAATATTATAATATTATAATATTAACAGTTCGTAACGATATAAAACGTTGATGAGTGACTATAAATGAAAATATAAATACTATTTTATTCATCATATAATATAAAAAAAATGACTTACACGTTTCTGAATCTATGTGGAAAGCAAATTTATTTCAACTTCTATATTTTACAATAAATAATGTTTAACCACTATAATGTTTTTAGTCTTTTTACAAACGTTAATTGGAGGCTGAAAGCTACGTATTGCTGTACATGCCAGCTTTCATCATCTTTTTGAGACGAAGCAGGTTTTTACATCCCTAGGGCCAAAAATCAGATGTTCACTTATTTACTAAAACATTAATGTAAATTAAATACACAATCAGTATCCATGTTCAAATTCATATATATATATTTTCAAGATATTGCATGCATATTCTTGACAAGTTTCCAAAAATCCTCGGCTGAACCAAAAAACTCAAGAAAATTGCAAACAAACTTTACAAAATTATTGTTTCATTACTTTTTTTCTAAGTACAAAAAAACCTTTATATATATTTTATTTTGTGTGGTGTAATGAAAAATAGCGTTCGTACCATGGACCAAAAGGATTTTGCAGCTCTCGGTCGTTTTCTGGAAACTTCTGAACTTCGTCTGTAACTTATAAAA